TCCAAACAAGAAAAGCAGACTCTCGCGAGAACAAAAAACGATGGATGCGCCATACCAGATTTTGCGATGTATGGTATGATGTTGCTAGGGCAAAATTTACTTCATTCGGATAGGTCTAAGGGAATTTTTTTCCTAAAAATCAGATTTTTTAGCTTTACATGCCAACATTTGCGAGACCACATCAGCTAGGATTATGGAACCTACGCAGACGCGTTCCTTGCTTGATTTTGAACATATCTTGATGTAGTTCTGTGTGGTTTGAGCATATGCTCATGATGTAGGGATCCGCTAATGTCATCCCCGCCGCCCGTAATCGGCGGCTTTGTCGGTTGCCGCCGCCGCCCGCGGTGGGCGTGGATCGCCGTACAGTGCTTCTAACAAAACATTCGCTTCTCAGAAACCAGAGAGCCAGAGACATGCTTTTGCTGTCAAAGCACGCGCAATGCATGCGTTAGAGGTTGCTGAAAGTTGGGATGCGTTTATACCACATGCCAGAGAGATATGCCCACAAAACTTAGGGGAGCCATTGACGACAAAGGGTAAACGGCGACAGAACCTGTTACCAATACGGTCCGCAGAAGGTCCATGCTAGGAAGGGGTACCGGTGCTGGTGGGTTGGGTTTGCTGGAATAGTTCGTGCGCAAACCTGCGTCGAGTCCGATTCTGAGTTATCGGCCTTTGTGACACCAACCATTGAAGTGTGTGGTAGCATTTCGGTGATCGTGGTGAACATCGTGGTTCATGTTTTGAAACTTGACTTTACGCTAATCAAGGCATTAATCAGAATGAGAGCGTTTATGCAGTTTGGTTTTGTCTCTTACGCCTCTCGAAGAGTCCTGTGAACCAGCACAGGCCTTCCGACTCCGGTTATGGACGGGGCATGCTTTCTAAATCTGAACAGCCGACAGTTCTCGTGCACGCTTACAAGGCATTTAAGCACATGTAACATATCAATCCTGAGCTCTCTTATCGTCCGAATGACGTGCATTACCCCAAATTGAGCCTGAAAAAGCTGGCAATCTGAAGCCGAGTTTACCTACCCAGGAACACCACTAACATGCATCACATCGCGAACTTGCCACGGCTTTCGAAAGGCTTAGGACGCCGCGCAAGACCGTGTGCTCGTTCAAAACTTCGCTAACAATCTGCCCGTTCTCTGCCTTCGTAGGTTAATCGCTATAACATCAATAAATCGCTTATAACTCTGAAACAATTATGCCGGTTTATTCAGTCAGCTTCAGGGTGACTAAAAACACTTTAAAAGCTAATGGGGGCGTTGGGGTGGGGGGGGGGGGGGGGAGTCGCCCATTCAATAATTCACGAACCGCAGAAGGCGAGCGTGCTAAACAGGAGAGTGCATCATGTACTACGAAAAAGCAAGTCATTTGTTTGAGAACGGAGGGGGGGGGGGGGGGCACTGTAGAGCTCTGCGGATGTGCGACGGGCGCCAGTGGCAGCGCGTGTAGGACAAAGTACAACACGAGATGGTCGGGCACCAGCCACAGATGAGGGGCGCAAATATCGTCCCCCTAAAGGGGTGGTGACTCAATGAGACTTATGTCATCTAGAGACCGGTACATCTTTGATTAGTTGTGAATGTGGCTATCACTACGTCCCTGTTCCGTTTTTAACCTTTCAGAAGCCTTCCGTAACTGAGAACGATTTTTTTCGTCTCTTATAATGTACCAAACGACGCATTCGTTGTCCAACACCATTTCACTTAACATGAAGCGATGAGAGCTCATGGGCATTGTAGTAGCCTACGATTAAATTCGTTATAATCCCACACACATGGTGCATCCGTTTTGATGGATTTGTCCCAAAAAGTCTCGCACGGCTTTTGGCCTAGAGTGCGCATTAGAGAGGAGCCCTCCGCTCGTACCCATGCATCCACAACCCATCGTACAATTAAGTTTATAAGCCTGAGTTTTTCACCAAACAGAAGAACGAAGAATGCACGGGGATGCAAAGCGGTTATGGTTCTCAATGCTTCCAAATGGAAGTTTCGAGCACGAATGAAATAAAGGGCTTGCGGAAATATTTGATGAAGGTGGCGATGCGTCGCAAACGCCTCTCTTTCTAAATAACATTGTTGCCGTTGTAATTTCTCAAGCGTAATCTGTTTTTCTAAATCCCCACGACCTGTTGATATAGTAGCGAACTTGTTTGCATCCTACTTAAGTGCATCAACAAATATCAAGAACAAAGTCGTAAGCAAAACTTAGCAATAATCACCACCTCACAGCCTTTCATTAATGTTCTTGCTATCTGTTTCGACCACTTGAGACCGATCCTTGCATCCTTTCTTAAACTCAACGCGTTTAATGGCTGATAAGCCCCGCACTGCGTAGTGCTTAACCAAATCCATCCCCCTCCCACCCTCTTCCACGCCTGTCAGTATGTATCCGGTCTGCCCTATTCTTACTCTTCCTAATTATGATCTCACTTTTGATTATGTCGACAGGGAAGGGGGGAGGGGAGTGCGGACGTGACGGCGCATACCTCAGCATAGCACAACACTTAAAACTGATGGGCACGACCTTAGTCTTATTATTCCCAGCAAGTAAAAACAAAATCACGTTGCGCCAGCTGCCGTCTTGACCTTCATACTTGGTCGACTTATAATACCATGCAATATTGGCGTCATGCAACTACAATTCATTTCTAAGCTTCGGTCTAATAATTTGCAATACAGTGCACAATACCTCCGGGGGTTTGACCTTCACACCGCGTGGGTCCCGTTCAGCAACTTTGCGCTTCTCAATAAAGTTGGAATAGATGTCCACTAATGCTCCATACATAAACAATACCTCTGCATAGCGTTTGTATACTTGGTATACGCTGAATCTAGGATCTGAACTAGTTACATGGCGCATCAGTCATCAGGTATTTGAATCCCCTGGATATATTATTTTTCCCCTCAGGCCACCAAACTGCCACTGCAATGCCACTGCACTCGACAAAAATTGATACTCAAGTGGTAAAACCACCCAGCGAGTCAAAAATGCCAAAAATGTTTTAAACGGGGATGCCCTGTGTCCAGTATCTTCCACCCACAAGTACCCATGTGCCTAGACTGACATATTTAAGACAGAATGCAGTCAACTCACCTCTACCCTGGTTGGAGACGCTGCTCACCGCCGGCGCCCCCTATCATCCACAGCCCACACCTTGGTCCACACCGACCGCGAGCAAGCGTGCCTCTGTTTCAAGTCAATTCACGCGTCACAAAATGGTGGACCGCACCGCGACTGACTATTCAGCACCACTAATGTGCTGTTGTTTTCTCGCCAAAGCCCAAACAGGCGAGCTTTTAGCACCCATCAGGGAGGTTTTAGGACTTCGAGCACCCACTTCATGCTAAAACGTCCCGCGCATTCGTATTACAGCAAAAAATAATGCCGTTAAGTACCTTTATAGCACTTTCGCAGAGCTTTCCTTCAGCATGCAAAGCAGGAGGTGCTGGGTTCAAGCACCGTTACAGCACCTTCGCAAGCCACGTCGCACTTTAAGTCGAGGAACTGCTAGCCTGAAGAAGCATTTCGCTGCTTGCTGACCATCACTCAAAGCCACTAGATAACGCGGAAATGGCACAGTGTGAGATTACTTTTTTGCAGTGTGGTCGACGGCATGATTTTGTGGCGAATTTGCAACGTGCCGCGAAGCTCTGCGCGTTTACACGGTCCATCCGACCCTCTAACGCCATCTGACCTTCAGAACGGCCGCTGCCGCCGGTCGCAAGCCATCCCTGCGCGTGGCAAATAGTGAGCGCTTAGAGCGGCTCGAATCCACCCCGCCACGGGTGCATCCGTTTGGATCCACCCATCTTACTGGGTGAACCCAAAGACAGAAGTTCTAATCAACCGATCTGCTGGGACTAACTTCCAAAATGCTTGCAATGTATGTGCGTCACAAAATCGTTTTCATCTAAATCGCCTAGTGGTGTAGTGGAAAAGAGAGGACTTAAAGTGTTTCCCGCTTCGCCAGCACGCATCGTTATGTAATGCATCACATTTATTGGATTACGGAGTAGAGGTATACCAACCAACACATTTGGCATTGTGCATACATTTGTGAAGTACTTGGTGCGCGCACATATACTGTTCGAATTCCGTTCTAAACACGCAAGACAACAGCTAAAAGCACCAACAGGCGTGCAGATCAATAGGGCGCAGCAATCGCTGTCAGACAACCTTGGATGAAAATAGAAGCGAGCAACATCAACACGACTTGACTAGTTACGATATAGCACGCAAGCCAGCAGGGCAAGGGCCCTTCTTCAGTCGGATGTCGTCAGAAGCTGGACGCAGCATCGGACGCCTTGTCTTCACACACAGCCGGGGAACACCTCAGCGATCCGTAACATATGGAATGTGCATTGCCATTATAAGTTGAATATGCGGGAGAAGGCAGATTAAAACAACGCAAGCATTAGCGCCTGGTGCGCCACTTTCGTTTCATTCGAGTGAGTAGCACGCCTCGCACAACGAAGCACTGTAGCCGACAAAGTCACGTTTAACAAAATTGGCAAATGTATCCCAGGCATTACCCACCAACCTCTGAAATGGTATAAGAACACCGCTGCAATCAGCAGAGTAACAGTTATGTGCAGTAAATTGCTATGAACGCCATTAAAGCATAGCACCACAATAATAGCAGCTGCATTATCGGCTACGACTACAATTATATTTAGCCGGCAGAACTGGGGCAGCCAACTGTGAGCACACATCTTAGTTGAGTGGCTTGCTTGTGTTCGAATCTCGAGTACCCCACGCTTTATTGAGTCGATTGAGGTACTGAGCTTTAGAGGCCGCCACACCGCGCTGCCTACGCAACTGTGCGTTGCAGGTAGTGAAATGACTATTCATATGCTAATAACATGCTACCAAGCTTTGCTCAGACTTCTCACACCATGATCGGGTATGGTGAGGGAAAGGTCGGTGTCATTCTCATTCATATCAAACCCAAATAGGCAAAGGCTTGCATAGAGTTCTTTTGTACCCTTCGATTGCTTTAGATAATTTACAGTAGGGCGTATTTCTGAGCCTCCTACACTATGCCGAATCTGATCAAACACTCAGAAAATAGTTCTTTTCTTGCACTCATTTTTCTCGCTGACCCATTTCCGTCAGAGTTTGGAGCATTCCTTTTTTGTATGCTCACAGGCACACGGGTGGCCGAAGGAACACGAAGCGCTTGCCTAGAGGTCAGCATGAAACTCTGAGAGCTGAAAAAGAAAGATGGTGGAAACATCAAATTTGTAGAATAAAACTTGACAGAGGATCTGTGTGATTTCGATTGCATTGGCTTTGTACATCATTAAGTTGTGATCAGTTAGTCGGCTTAGGTCGAAAAAGTTAAAATTCGCGGTTAGGGTTTATAGTATACCTCGATCTTTTTACGCAAATAACTTTAACCTAACTATTTTTCAATCTAAAAGGTCAATCAGGACCTTTTTGGTGCCAGTGAATTTATATGATCTTCAGATGGTTGAAACGGAAAAAAAACTTTCGCGATTATGTTAGACGTATAACCAGACTCGTCGTCGAGAGCTGCCATCATGCCCCAAAGTGCTGAAACCAAAGCGGTCACAAAGGCCATTTTTGGTCAGTGACCTCTCCTGCCCTTAACGAAGTAAACATGCCATATTGTCTTCATTATAAAGGAATTCAAAATTAGAGCCAAACGCTGCCCTATCCACCAAAGTGTCCTGTCGAAGTGTGATGAGTTTTTGACCATGATCGTCATAACTCACCCAAAGTCAATGGGATCACTTGTCCTAATTTTAATCGCATTGTCGTTCGAGAAACCGTTTTATGACTTCGCATAAGGGTCTACTGTGACATTAGCTTGACGCTTGCCCTGACGGCTATCTCTACTGGCGGCAATTAATCGGCTCAACGACTCAAATTTTAATCAGCTTCAGGTCAGGGACGATAAAAGAGATAGCATGATTCTTTGCATCGCTTTAGGGGTGAAATAAAGTGGCCACAAACTCGTGTTAACACACACCCTTATTAAACCCCGTTCCAGGCAGGATTATGTGATCACACAGTATTTGGTGACCTGACCTTACCTGGAGATGACCTGATCTAAGCTGAACATTATCTCGACTGACCTAAAAGCTGGTCTGATATTTAAAACATTGTCCTAAATGTGACGACTTAATGATGACTGGGCTCACAGATTACCCGAAGTTAAGAAGACCTGACCTACATGTGACCTAGATTGACCTAAATGTGACCGGTACGTTCATTAAGATAGCTGGACTCGGTGTAACATTACCTGACGAAATATCGCAACAGCCCAATCAGAATTTAAAAAGATATTTGCACTTGAAGCCCTGCATGCGCAGCCTGCTTAACCTGAGACTTGTTAGGCACGGAAAAGACGAATTTGAAAAATTCAAAAGGTCCCTTTCGGCTAGGGACATCGACTGCCCCTCTCCCCCTCCCCCCAGAGTTTTATGACATTCCAGGGACTCTGAAACCGGCTCGGGCACACGCCTTGCCGCTCGACGCTGTCGTGATAAACGCCAGATTCTGAGGATATTTGGATCCAGCCCCGTGCCTCAGCGACCTTGCGGCACTTGTTCAGTCTAATGTAGCAATGTGTGTTAGAAAATAAATTTTCAGAGGGTGCATCCGTACACTCAGAGTATGGATAGTGCCGCGCATGTCTTTAACTATGGTGTAGCGCTATGGGCATTCGGTAAGTTCTACTTTTCCTCTGCAAAATTACGAACGCGATTTCTTTTCGGAGAAGAATAGCTTCTTTGTAGAACATTGTACTGACCCATTCTTGGCGCAAAAAGAAGGGCGCACTTCTTCCATGTGATTATAATTAAGTTCCTTGGCTTTCTATTTGGAAAACAGGCGTTAAATCGCGAGATAAATGCATGCTTCGTACTTTTACCGAAGCCAAGGGATGGATACCTCACGGCAATATCATCTTGAGTGCAGACAATAAGTTGCGTTAATCTCTATACAAAAATAGTTTCCCTATGCATGCTTCCAGAACGCCGAAAGGAATGGAAAGTGCACCAAGCGGAATTTCAAAATATTTCGATGCACTTTTAAGCATGAAAATCCTCGGCCACTTGAGCAGTATGGTTTGAGGTGAAATCTAAACACTAACGAACTCCACTTGACGAAATCTCCTTAATCTATGCCACTGGTTGTTAACTCCAGTCCGTACTATTTCTTCAGTGCCATGTGTCAATTAAGTACTCATGGCTCCAAGAATAACTAAGTCGACGAGTACGCTGCGATCTGACAACACGGCTGCAAATACCAGCTCTGCAATGGCAATTTAGAATTTTGCATTTCATCTCAGCTCTGATTGAAAATTCAGTTATGAAAAAGTTACAAATAAAATCACGAAGGGACTGGTAGGCAGGACACCATAGAAACAACGCTTGCGGAGTGAGCGATGATGAGAAAAATCACATTTTGGTGCCTTGGAAAGGGCAAGGTGTAAAAAAGGGTTTAGCGGGTCATCCGTTCTCCTGCTTTGCTCGTCTCCCATGACACGCAACAATGTTTTTTTTTCATTCCTAAGTTCAAAGTCCTGGCAGAAAAACTACTAAGAGCTTTTTCATAGGGTGTCACTGAAAAAACGCAAGTGGTAAGAGAGCTTTTAGCACAGTGGGTCGCATGACAAGATACATCCAGGCGAGCCTCTTTTCACATGAATAGCGTGCAAAAATCTATGTAACAAACTCACCGAGGTGTACTAATTTCCGAGCCGGATCAGTATCAAAATGTGAAGCATCATTTCTCAGAACCCTCGCCGCCGGATCCAATGATAGAGTGTCATGAAGTTAAATCACACAGAGCAGTGAATCTCATCTCCATGCGTCCGCATTCGGAGCTTGCCAATCAGCTGACTCCAGCCCGACCAGTCCTGATTCGCCGGCCCACTTCACACCGCCCGCCGGTTCAGCCGCGCTTTCGAGGCCCGTCCCAGCAGCGCGCGGCCCTCACTGGGCTCCCATAAAGCGTTCGCGGGCAACACGCGACCGAGAACAAAACTCAGATGGGCACTTCCGAACGCGTCCACCGCGTCACCGCGTCAGCCACACACTGCATGCTTATGTCAGACTTTAGGACTCTCCCCACTGTCCTGCGGTGGGCTGCTGGTCTTGACCTGAACCTTGATGCCGCCGCTGCCATCTGTCGCCGCCGCGCGGTGTTGAAGCCTCTTCTGAAACCCGGCAGGTCGTCGTCGTCACGGAATGTCGTTGGATCCCTCGACAAAAAGCCCCCAGGAAACATTGCTGCCCGTTGTGAAGGGAAACCGACTAAACCATTGCATCACACCGCATAATTATCACAATCAATGTGTAATGAAAGGCAGCTTGGAGGCTCAAACTCGTGATTACCATCCATCAAACAGAATGATTGCACTTAGGCGACTCAGCTCTAGCAATCGTCACATCAATTCTGCATGGCGTATGGAATTCTTGGCTAATATGACGAGAAAGGTACCGCGGCTGGAAAACAAGCACAGAGTCCTATTTGCGCAACAACACAACTCGATGTGACCGTCTCGCCCGCGCGGCGGATCGGTGTGCGCGAACTCGCGGGGTATACACAAACAGACTAAACATCCCAGCTCATTTGGCATCGACGCCAGCGGACGCGTCAGACGAGGTCGAGCCTACCTGGAACAGACACATGCAGACGAGACAGCTGAAGCCGAGCAGCAGGAGGCCGGCGCCGGTGTAGATGAGGGTCAGCTTGTGGGAGCCGACGGCGGCGTCCGGCGCCAGCTGCACCAGACCGACCACCAGCAGAGTGGTCTGTGGACAGATGCGGTCATTGTCAGCAGCGGGCACTGGCGTCGGCAGCAACATCGCTCACCGGCCATTGCACTCTGCAATATCACCAGACAGGTGCAGGTAATGGAGATGAATGATGATGGCGCTGTTGCTGTTGCTGCTGATGGTGATCATTATCATCATGACAATATCATTAGCAAGGCCCACAGCCGGTTGATGTCATAGTAGCCCGTGATATCACTATTCAGTCACAAACCCTGGACAAACTAACATAATAGCCTATCCCTTCCTGGTTTACTCCTTTGTCTACGCGCACTGCAGTCCTTCACACAGTCCTGTTCACATCGCACCAAGCACGTTATTCACACACTCCAGAAGCCGTCAGGAAAGCGTACGCTATAACTGTTTTAAACAACACCAGCACTGCACCTTTGGGATTGTTTTAAAGCATTAACACTGATTTCTCGTAGTAAGCCTTCCAGAATCGTGAATGTCCTCCTCCGCGACGACCCACGCCGCTCTGAGCCCCGTTATCTACTTCCTCTTCTGCGACAACCCACTCCGCCCTGAAACCTCGTCATCCACGTCCTCCTCCGTGGCGACCCACGCCGCCCTGAACCCCGTCATCTGCTTCCTCTTCTGCGACAACCCACTCCGCCCTGAAACCTCGTCATCCACGTCCTCCTCCGTGGCGACCCGCGCAGTTCCGACCCCGTTATATACTTCCTCTTCTGCGACAACCCACTTCGCCCTGAAACCTCGTCATCCACGTCCTCCTCCGTGGCGACCCACGCCGCTCTGAACCCCGTTATATACTTCCTCTTCTGCGACCACCCACGCCGCCCTGAAACCTCGTCATCCACGTCCTCCTCCGTGGCGACCCACGCCGCTCTGAACCCCGTTATATACTTCCTCTTCTGCGACCACCCACGCCGCCCTGAAACCTCGTCAGCCACGTCCTCCGTGGCGACCCGCGCGGCTCTGACCCCCAGCAGGACGAGGACGACGATGACGTGCAGCAGCGAGAGCCTGCCGCACAGCATGCCGCAGTCCCAGCTGCAGGGCTGCTGTGGCTCGGCGGCGCCCGGTGTCTCGGTGGTAGAGAGGCGAGACCGGCGACAGCGCAGAGCCGCTCGGACCTGCCGGAGGGGGCGGGAGAGGTCAGCCGAGCGGGGCGGCGCTGGTCGTGCTGGAGTCGGGACACCGCGCAGCAGTCGGCTAGGGCAGTAAGAAGCAAGACAGGCATTGTGCTGTGAGACTTTTGCTGTGGTTCTGGGAAGCGGTCTGTGCGCCCTGGCGGAGCGTGTTAAGTAGAAGTATCGTACTATCCGGATCGTATTAAGCGTGTTAAGAACGTGTTAAGAAGAAGTATCGTACTATTGAACTGTCATGCATATCACTGTTTTGCCTTGTCACGTTTCTCACGCATGCATGCGTACGCTAAGGGAGGTGCGTGCCCTGCGCTTCTCAAAAGTTAAGTCGTTTAAGTTGTTCAGTGCATTAGCGAGGGACATTATTCACATAGACAAGACGGTAGTATTGGCCTTATTCGTCGGAAAAACTAGGAGAGTTGAGATATGGTTATGTCGATATTTCGGCAACATGCCTTTATCGGAACAATAGCAGAATAGCCCCGATCATGGTGATCTTCTGCTATTGTTTCGATAAAGGCACGTTGCGGAATATCAACGTAACTATATTTCTATTCTCCGGGTTTTTCCGAGAAATAAAGTTAATACTACCGTCTTATCCAGGCTAAGTCATGTACTTTAAATTTTAAACAATTAATTTAAATACCATTAAAATGTCATGTGAGAGCTTATCCATCAGTTGCTAATGCCATAAAAATCAATCATTAAATATTTTAAGACCAGGAAGCATTCGCTTTAAAAAGAGGACCGGCCACGTCTTGTTCGAACGATCCTACGCTGCTGTTTTCAACTCTCCAATGAAGGGCATTGGGTACCTTAATTAGTGTTATTTTCCATATGCCATTTGTATAATCATCATTACCATGATTTGTATCATTACACTTACTTGGGTATATATTTTTCGCATTTTCGAATATATCTGTATTGTCTTTATGTATTTCTTGTATGTATTTTGCAAGGATGTTGGTGCTGGAAGTGAAGGGTCGACAGACATCGCCGTTTTGACTTGGCGGATGGTCCAGCTAGGGAACCGTCCTGAGTGCTGGACTTACCTGATCTGTCCCTTGCGTGGACATGGCTAATAGCTTGCCCTGATTGGTGAGTCGACATGACCCTTGGGTGGCCTGCCTCAGCTATGGGGATGACCTGGCCTGACCTGTCAAATTCTGTGGGTCTCACGTGGCTAGTGAATCACCCTGGCCAGGGCCGACCTAGCCTATGACCTATCCTCACTCTGCGGCGACTTGATCTACGACCCGTCCTGACTGCAGGACCCAGGACCCTGACTGCCTGACCGTCCCTGATCCGTGACATGCCCTGGCTGCGCGCCTGACCTGACCTGACCTAACCTGACCCAAATATGGCTCTGACCTGGCCGGTGGTCGATGAGCAGTGTGTTGGGCCTGCCCAGGCGGGTCTTGTCGTCCGCCTTGGCCTGGTGACCCCGCTGGTGCCGCACAGCGATGGCTGGCATGGCGCCGATCATGGTGACACCCTGCGGAAAACAATGCAATTAAAGCTTAACAATGCGGTCGCCCCGTCGGTCAGAGCTGAAGCCCTACCAGCACGCAGCACAAGATAGACAGTTGAGACCAAATGACAGACAGGAAGAATAGGTCAATGCATTTTATTCTCAGTCCAGTACTGCGGCGTAGATGACCTCATCGATGTCTGTAGAATTTCAGTAGAATCGACCTCCTTGCGCAGCTGTTTCAGTTCTTGATCGCCTACTGCGGTATGGTAATTCCAGGCTCTCATGCTCCATTCCCTTCCATTACTCCACACCTAGTCGGAGTGCCTGTGCAAAATACATCACCTCCAACGCATGAGCAATCTCAAACTTGGGTACCTTCCGCTCCCCCTCCCCCCGAGTGCATGTACATAACACTTCCGATAAACCAGGAGAGCTGGCTCAAACTGGTCGTTCACTTGTCACATCTCCAACTCTATACAACAAGATTCAAGTTGACACAAATTAGAAAAAAAAATATTCTGGCGGACGTATTCCGGAATAAAATTGGTATAGTTTGGGCCTGTGGATGGCCGAGGGGGATGGTCTTTGTTGAGGTTGTCGTCGGTCCATCTCTCCGGTGGCACCACCCTCAGTCCTCGTGACACCACGCTCAGTCCTCGTGGCACCACCCTCAGTCCTCGTGGCACCACCCTCAGTCCTCGTGGCACCACCCTCAGTCCTCGTGGCACCACCTTCAGTTCTCGGCAGTGTTTGATGAGCTATCGTAAGATGCATGTGGCTCAGTCCTGTGCGTGATCTTCATTCAACCGAATCGATGCCGCCTCCCATACAAAGCCTTTGAGTTGGCTTAAGGATATACTAGCTGCTACCCAAGGATGTACTAGTCCAATTCCCAAAACTGTTCCGAACGAGTCGAATTTGGTGACAAGAATTTGATCGCTTTTTGCTCTATGACGTTTATAAAAGCATTCGCTGGACATGTTTTTCACAGCAGCATGTTCGCAAAGCTGCACGTGACCCCCTCCCCCTTGTCAGATTCACTGCATATTCAAAAATGCCTGTGAAGAACTGTTGATACTAAAATATTCTGATGAATACACCAAATTAGCAAAGAAACAAAACAAAGCAAAAACAAAGCAAAATCGGGAACCTACGATACTGCTTGACGTCATGCGGCATATTTTCCCCGCCTCTGGCTCACTAAACTGTGTTTTCGATCAAAACAATGGTGTGCCCCTCGCAAAGTTCTGTATACGCCCCTGATTTTTATAACAAGGCTATCCAAGCAGTCCGTGATGAAAAACAATTGTTTCATATTCATATTTACTTTTGACGCGTCTCAGCAATGATACAAACACAAAGCTGCGACTCTGCGGCCCTCAGTTTGAAAGCCATTTACATTCCAACTCGTCGAAAATAGTATTGAGCTGGGGGACAATTCTGGCTCAACCAATAACCGAACACGGACGGGCCATGCTTTTCAGCAACGTGCTTGCCTTGCCCGATCATCGGCGTACGCTGGCGTGCAAAAACACCGTTGCTAATATCCACAAAGGTTCAAGTTTCGCCTACAAGTGCGCCCAATCAGAAACTCTAAGCCCGCTCGCTGACGCCTCTAAGTGACGTCCGCAGGCTTCGGCTCGCCACGTCAGCTGGGCGGCCTACTGGCCGCGACCTAGCGGCAGTTTCCGTACCACGTCGCTGCCGCGTGGAGCCGGCCGCCATCGATAACATAGATTGAGTTATAAACCATTATGTCAAAAGTCCCGAACAGTTTTCGGCTACTTTGCAACTTTAGGGTGTTTACCTGTTATCTGCGACTATAAAGTTCGGTAAATGCCTGTCCGGTGACAGGCTTCATTCTGAATGCAAATTAGCAGAAAAGTTTCTGCTTGAAATCAGGCTTGGTACAAGTTTCCGCTTGCGATAAAGCTTTGTACAAGTTTCTGCTTAAGATAAAGCTTTGGACAAGTTTCTACTTGAAATAAGACTCCGTAAACTGGTGATACATCAGTTAGGGGCCGAGCATAGGACCGCATGGAGCTGGTCCACGGGACACGCCAGGCGGGAAGTCCGCGGTGCTCCAAACACCGCGGCGTGTGCCGCACCGTAGCATAAGGAACCTCAATCCAGCTGAAAATGTGCGTTAAAAAGCTCACTACATATGCCTCCATTGGAGCTATGGCTGCTGAACGGTGGGCATATGAGATGATTGACACTTGGCTATTACACTTGACGCCGGTCTTCCGGTACGAGTTCAAAACAGAAGCGCGCCATGATGCTCGTGCTACGTCATGGCCAGCTGCCAGTACTCCGAAACCGCGCTGACTGGAAAAAAATGACCATCAGGCCGATGCTTTCATATCAATTTCCCAGGTTTCACACCAGTGATGTTTGTTTGGCATCAACCCCATCTAATCTAACATACTCCAGAAACCCGGCTGAACTTTTTCATTACCCGCGCCGGTATTTGGTCGAGCGTATGGCGACACGACAGCCAACTGCAGGCCGCGGCCTTGTTGGAGGCCAAGAATATCCTCACGCCCTGACGCCTGCTGACTGGTTCACCGCAACTGAGAGACTGACCAGTCAAGAGCTAATTATTATGAAGGTATCAGGTTCACTGGTATAGTTAAAAAAGAATCCAAGCTTGAAAGATGCGGTCGCGAACCACTGCGAGGGAAACATGCAAGGAAACCATATGCGTCAAATTGTATCCAAATATTTTTTTTCGTTTTCATCGCGCGGTAAACAACTCAGCGACATAGGACGTTGAAAGTTAAAAAAAAATCAGGCGTTTTTATCGTTCTATCATCACAAATTATTTACACTGACCATAGCGTGATACCGTGACCACCTGAATAAACAGCTCTAAAACAATTTTTTCACTTGAAATACGCGAGCTCTTCCTTTGCCCGCCGGTTCACAAAATGTGTAAACTTGAGCCACCACCTCTAAATTTTGAGGGTAGGTATGTATCAGACTAATTCCTAGGAAAAACGGGACCTTATGGCCGGACAGGTTGAGCCTTGAGACTTCAAGGCCCCTGCACACATGTAGCGATGGCCAAAATGCATGTAAATCGCTGAGCTATACACAAGGGTGTGAGCTTAAGCTCCGGCCTGTAGATTCTTCACTCTGTTGTATATCACCGGACAATTCTGCAAATAATCGGCAGTAAATTCGACGCCCAAGTACATGTATTAACTCAGACAGTGGTACATTAACACGGAAGAAGATCAGAAAGCAATGTATGGAGGCAATCAGTGTGATCTAAAAGAATAGGAAACTTTGAGTCTTCCTTGTTTCAAGGACGCTAAGCAAGAAAGCAGGCATGTGACGCAGTTCAGAAAAGCAATATCAACCCCACGTCAGCATGGTGGCAATATCCGGCAGCCGGCTGAGATTTGGTTTGGCTTCAGCGCACAGTGCAGCGATCACTAAA